TCTAGGGGGTAATTTTTTCTCATAAGAGGCAGATGCGATATGTTTTGTTCCGAGTCAACTGAATGAAACTGTTGTATGACAAAGGTAATTTCCATTGATATCTGTTTTTTGTTTTTTTTCTTCAAGTCAGTTTTTCTTATCAATGCGGCAAAAACTGCTTTCCGTTTCTTACAGACCTATTCTTTTTTTTGAAATTCTTTTTCTTTTTTATGGAAAATATGTAGCACCTTCATGGACTGGATAGTGGAGTAATTTTTCATCCATTCATTTTTACCCACAAATGGGAACGAGATTATAAAAAACATTTAAGAATCAGTATAATTCACTTAATAGAAGTTTTCGTTTAACCAAAATTTCAAGAGTTCAAAATACTAACTGGGCCTACAATGTACTACAACATATACATGAATACTGGATATTGGATTTGTATTTTATCAGTGAAGGCTACGTAACTCACAAAAGACAACAATATAATATCGGAGACACAGAATGTAAGGAATCGCAGAATCTCACAGGCGTTGAATATAGCACAGAACATCTCCTATATAAGAAATCATGAAACCTTTTCTGAATATCTGCACACAAAAAAATAAATAAAAATAAAAGAGGAAATATTAACAAATACCTTTAGATATGCATGGGTAAGATAACTCCTTACAAATGCCAAAGTCAAGAGCTTAAAACAAATGACAAATGAAACAAATATTAAGGAGATATATCTAACAATACTAAAAATTAATATTGAGCAATGACTATAAGGCTTTATGCTTGTAATGTATTCAATAAGTACAGTATGACCAAGAACTTAAAATATTGGATTTTTTTTTATTAACAAAATGTGTGTGTATGTGTGTGTGTGTATATATGTGTGTGTGTATATGTGTGTGTGTGTATATATGTGTGTGTGTGTATATATGTGTGTGTGTGTATATATGTGTGTGTGTGTATATATGTGTGTGTGTGTATATATGTGTGTGTGTATATATGTGTGTGTGTGTATATGTATGTGTATATGTATATATGTGTGTGTGTGTGTGTGTGTGTGTGTGTGTGTGTGTGTGTGTGTGTGTGTGTGTGTGTGTGTGTGTGTGTGTGTGTGTGTGTGTGTGTGTGTGTGTGTGTGTGTGTGTGTGTGTGAACTTTATAAATATAATTATTTTAATGTTACTTTTGTTCTTTAACTTTCCTTTTTTTTGTCACTTGTCATTTTGTCATGTGTATGAATGCATTATCATCTTAAATACTTTTCATCTTTAATATGCATGAATCATGAGGAAAGAGAACAATACCATATTGATACCTGATAATTCAATGGGCATGAAATATGCATCCAAATGGGATTTACCTTAAATTAGATGTACTAAATTCAAGATTAGGCTAATATACAAGGAGTGGCCCCTACATTCTCTGCAAAATGTGAGAAAATGTAACTTTATTATCAAGGGGAGGAGGAGGAGGGGAATAATGTATAAAATTGTTCTTTAACACCTTATGGTTATAATATTCATCTAAGACATGTTAGTTTTCTCTCATATTATGATAAGGTAAACGCTTTTGAAGTATCATTAGCCATGGTTAATTATTACACAAATGAAACTTACACTGATATTAAAAATTTATCACTGCTGTAAACCCTGTTTCTTCCTCTACCAAATGTCTATCATTTTTATCTTTTAAACTTTTTACCATTATCATTATTGCATCCCACGGCATTGTCAGTTTTGTTTCATCAGTATACATGTTATTCATCCTTTTTTTTTATCATTGGTCTAGCCCTTTTCCAGACAATAAGCCCAGTATACAATGAAGAGAGAAAAAAAAATAATATGGACTGAGAGAGAAAAAAAATATATATGAGCAGAACCATAGGAACTCGTCATGCCAATCTCATGACACTTCAGACTGCGGTTACTGTAAGGCAAGTTTTTTGTTCTGTTTTTTTTTGTTTTTGTTTTTTTCACACCATTCGCCCATCCCCCAACCCCCAAAAGCTCTATAAACTGTACCTAGAGACTGTAGCCTGCCCCTCCCACCTCTAAAAAGAGAATCGCTAACTTGGAAAAAAGGAATCCGTCTCTACAGTGATGTGATGATGAATATCTCCGTAATCTACACATTTAAACTATGTATGGCTTTATAATGCTTGTCCTTACATATCCAGCTAAATGAAAAGCCACATCGAAAGTTTAAGCGAAGATGAACAGTTCACTTTTCATGATCCAGGAAGAGCTGCATTAAGTGTTGTAGTTGTTGTTTTTTTTCCACGAAGAACAGATTGCACTCACTGTATCTTAAAACAAAAGCTCAGCATATATCTATAGACCGTTTGGATCTGCCGGCCGTTTTGAGTCCGACTCTAAAAGCCATGGATCCAGCATAGTTTCCTCACTCGGAATTCATCGAGGAGTTTTTGCTCAGCTCACTTATACGTGGGTTTTAGATCACATAGTTTTGTGCAGTCACTGGGTTTATATCACATTTGTATCTTTGAAAACTTCCTTATCTGGTAATCCTTATGTCATTAAAGAAATACAACCTTAGCCTTTCATCTGCTTAGTGTTATTGTACACTTACTATTGTCATATTTGAAAGCTTGGACAACCTCCAAGCGAACTTCGCCGCACAAAACATCCATCTGAACGCTGTGAGTCTATCAAGTAAATATCACACCTCACAAGCACATTTGCCAATGCCAGTATAACCACTCATAAGAGCATAGAAACAAAAAAAAAGTAAGACCCTTTTCCTTTTCTTATTCCAAGAAAAAAAAAAAAATATTTGTGGAAGATGCATCTGGTGATGTTTAAGCACCACACTAGCTGCATAACTGTAGTGTGCCTTTAAAAGGAGCCCCTGAGAAGGTCCTCCAAGTCATGCTCGTAGATGGCGATGATGAGCATGATGACGGCACCTGTGAGCATGCCGAGTCCTTGGAGGAGCAACTGGCCTGCCACGCCAAACTTCTCTCCTCTCTGCACCGATAACTCTGAAAGCTAAACATAAAAAAAGAAATAATAAGATGTATAGATATCTATATCTATATATATATATATATCTATCAATCTATATATATCTATATATCCATATATATCTATATCTATCTATCTATCTATATATATCTATATCTATCTATCTATCTATCTATCTATCTATCTATATATATATATATATATATATATATATATATATATATATATATATATATATATATATGTGGCTTTACACACATAAACACACATACACACACACATACACACTCACACACACACACACTCACACACACACACACACACACACACACACACACACACACACACACACACACACACACACACACACACACACACACACACACACACACACACACAAAAAGTATTCCTTGCAATAATTTCCTTCATCACTGATAAGCCAAAGACATAAGATTCATTAAGAGAAAAAAGGGAGACAGAGCATACTGGCTCCCAGCTTCTCTATAATAGAGTGAGGCAGTATATATGTTAAGAAATAAAAATGATCTGAGCAGGACCACCTTTACGACTCATGAGGCCTTATAAACAATGAACAGCAGTCTCTCCCCTCTCGGCCCACATTACTCTAAATCAAAAAATATTCTAAACAATATACCACTTGGCATGACACTGAAATGAATAAAAGAACTGGGGAACTTAAAGCACAGTCAGAGAACACACCAATGGTTCCCGTATTAATGTCTTGGTGAAAACTGAGGTCAGAGCTGTCCTTTTAACAGGATGCTTGGCTACTTGGGACCCTGTCAGCTGTGTCCCTGTCCCTGGTACCACATACACTTTCTACAGATTGATTTTTTTTTTTATCTTTCATATAATTCAATCAGTCATACTAACATAAGCAAATTCTGTGACAGTCAAATCAGCATCATTTTGGTCTGCATATTACTGAGAGGTGCATGGAGAGAGTGGCTCAAGTATGCTGTATCTAAGGTATATTCCGTTAAAGTTACAAAAATAGAATTATCACTTTGTTAACTTTTAGATGTATATGAATAAGAGTGCAAGATGTGAGAGATCCAAGCAAAACTGTCAAATAATATAAAAAGTTTTGTTTGCAATCTCCGCTTACAGAAAATTCCATGAACTGGTGATAAAACTTTCATCTTGTTCTTTAAGCATATAATAAACAACATGAAATGTGTTACAGATAAATACAAACACTGCTCACTAAACAACTACTTAACCCTGCTAAAAAAAAATGGAAAGCTTAAAAGCTAACAAATCCCAAAATAATCCAAAATAGGCCATCATCAGAATCATGATTACTATTACCATTATTATCATCACCATTATCGTTATCAATAATATCAAAATTATTATTATTATCGATAATATTAAAATTATTATCATTATCAATTATATTAACATCATCATCACTAATATTAAAATTATTATTAATATCATCATTATTATCACCGTCACCATCACTACAACAAAACCCCAAACCCTACCAGATCCACAAGCGCCAGATAGATAAACACTCCAGCCGTGAAGGAATAGATCCAAGGCGACGCAGTTGGGATGGAGCCGAGCATGACCCCCAGAAGAAGACCGGCCAAGCTCAACACCCACAGAAGGGCCATCATTTTTACGGCTTGTTGCAGGTGCATTCCCATCTCAAAGAGGAGCGCGAAGTCCCCTGGAATGGTAGGTAAATAGAGGGGAAGACTGAGTGAATGGGGACTCTTTTGTAAACAGGGAATATTGGGTAAAAGGTTGAGTAAGTGGAGAATAGAGAGTCAATGGGATCTACTGAGTAAATGAGGAATGTTGAGTAATAAGGAATGGTGAGTAAATAGAAAGTATTGAATAAAAAAGGAAGTGAAGTGAACTGAGACTCGTAAGCAAATGGGTAATACTGAATTAATTAGGGATACTGTGTGAATAAGGAATACTGAGTATGTAGAGAATACTGATTCTATGGAATATAGACTTATTCAAGTGAGGAAAGTCATCAGGCAGGAAAATAAAAAATCCACACTAACCACCATCCAATCAAAGAGGAATATTAAGTAAAGAGAGATACATTAGCCCTCTTTTCATTAACCAGTTACTATAGAAATGATTTACAGTTAAGGCAAATTATTTTGATAACAGAATTATGGTAAACATATTCTAAAGATCTTCTATCTATCCAACTTACCAACTTTATGTGGCAGCTCATGGCATAAAACGGCAATGGAGGTTGCCACACCCCCTGTCACGCTAGTTCCGAAAGCTGCCCCAATTGCCATGCCATCCAGGAATGTGTGCATAGCATCGCCTACCAGGATCATGGCTCGGAGAGAATCCTTGCGACCTGTTTGGGGGAAAAGGAGGAATGCAGAAAAATGTATGAAAGTTATGATTCCAGAATGAATAATACCACAAAAGCAAGAAATGTAATTCGGAATCCTTAAAATTGAACCTTATTTTTATCAGACCAAAGAATGAGCTCTCACACACGCAACTTATCTACTATTTATATTCAATGTATTATCAAATCACAAGGATAAAAGCAGAATGCTCAAGAGCGCTCACTCACCTGTCACATGAGAATGGCCGTGGTGGGAATGGCCATGATGGCCCACGTGGTACTCCTGTAAGACCATGTTGAAGCTGGAGCTGTTTTGCCGAAGGACTTTTGGCCTCCCAGACGACGGGGTGTCCAGAATTAGGGAGAGTTCTCTACCCTGCAATGGCGTTGGAATGGACTGAAATTTCCTTCTATTACTTTTTCAACAAAAATAGCATAGAGCAAAGGCTAAAATATAACTGAGTTTAATATACTTTCATTTCTAAAAGTCAAGAATGAGGAAAAGTTCCCTGTCCTGACGAGAGATTAACATTTATCTCAAAATATCTCTTCTACACCAAATGCCTGAAGCTAAAATTTTAGTGGTATTGGGACTTATTATTAGATATTTCCTCAACTATCATTACTTTGTAATTCTGATCTAAACCTGACGAGTTCATTCAGCATGATCCAACTTGCTAAAGACACTTTACAGCACTCTTAGTAGAGAACACATCAAATATCTTTTTTTTTTTAAGTAAAAGATACGCACTATCTCTGACTTGTCAGCAGGTGTCGTGACCAGGCTCTCCTTCTCTGATGCACTGCAGGCTAGCTTCTCCTTCTCTGCACACATTGCCACATGCTTGTCAATGGATGCTACCTCAGAGTCCCTGTCACCTGACGAGACCAGTCCCTGCTTCTCGGGCAGGGTTGGCTGCTGGTCATCTCCGAATCGGCTTCTGTTCGGACCGTTGTTTCCATTGGCATCACTACTCGGACTCACATTTGAGCTGCAACCCTCAAAACAGTTCTGGGCTTCAAGTGCTGTGGGGATTAAAGAAAAAATGTTGAAAGATCTCTATGAAAACACCGGTGGTATGTATCACATATCAGTCACTAAGATCATCAGATTTTTTTTTTCTCTCTCTCTACAAATGCTGAGTTTCTATGAAATTCTTTAGCTTTTACTAACAATTCTTTAAAAATCTTCTATGTTCTTTATTACTGTGACTGAACAATAGTTATCTCTAATACAAGGTGTGTCCTTTCATATTTCTTAAGAAATAAAATTACATATCACAATACCTGAAAACCAACATTTCCTAATTCTATGTGAAACCATACTACAAAAATTACACAATCAATAGCTTATATTTCACATGGTTGTAGTTTTAGTTGTTGTAGTTGTAGTTACCTTCCTTTCATAACAAAAAGAGCCCAACAATTAGATCAAATAAACAAAAAATGTGATAATCAATCTATAATGTGTCGTTGCTATCTATTAAAATAATAACAGTACAAATACACTGCTTACTCATGGTGCTTTCTGCATAGATAAAGGAATTGTGTTTGGAATGTTTTGATAGCTTCTCTCCAATCTTGTCTGTTATCTGACTGGCCGAATCTTCAAGAGTTGTCGTTGTACCAACTGTTTCTTTGTCTATGTCCTCCTGAGGGTAGCATAAAACAGAGTTATATATACATCATATGATATAAAATTAATTGCATAACAAATATATAACAATTAAAGTATGTAAAAATCTTAAAGAAATGAACTGTATATAAATATACAACTTTACAACAAAAATACAGACTAAACTTCAACAAACCTGAAAACAAATTAAAATCGACACATAACCTGACTTCCTACCTGCTTCACATTCCCACACCCACTCACTCAACCACTGATCCATTCATTCACTTTTTTCATTCATTCATTCAAGTCATTCCTTCCCTCACTCCTTCGTTTCTTACATGCCCTCTTTTCCCCTACACACCATCCACTCATAGCCTGTTGATCCCTCGTTCGCTCACCCACTCATCCACGCACCATCCACATATCACATGTTGATCCCTCATTCACTCACCCACTCATCCACGCACCATCCACATATCACCTGTTGATCCCTCATTTGCTCACCCACTCATCCACGCACCATCCACATATCACATGTTGATCCCTCGTTCGCTCAC